AAAAAGATGCAACAAGGAAGATACTTCTTTCTATATATCTCTCTGAATACCAGTTTTCATATTTGTACAATAGAAATAATTCCACCTTGTAGGCTGTATAGAAGGATGAGATAATGTATTAAAATGCTTGCCATGTAGTTCAGCAATAAATTACGATTATTATTTGTATTGATCAGGTGTTTTACAGTAATGTGAGGGCAAACACTGCAGGTTAGATTATCCTGTTTATTAATAGCATTATTCCATCAATATAATCATTATGAATTTCTTTCACTCTTTAAGTCAGCTTTCAGGTGTATCCAGCAATATGAATTTGGGTTTTATAAATCTGCATAAAATTATAGGTATCTTTTTGCTTGTCCTACCTCCTGCTGGCTCATAGAATCAGCTTTAAAATAGAAAAGCTATATTTATTTTGATTAATGCTGCTACAGCAATGGCTAAAAATAACTCTGATGTGCTCTTAATAATTAAGGCTGCATGCAGACATTGTTCTAATTGAGAAATAATACATAAGCTAATTTGGATATCTGGGAGCTATTAACATGCAATAGATCTAATTTTTGGCCCCTCCTTTTGTATACTAATTTTAAAGGCAAACTCCACTGAAGTGATTGATAATAGACCCTAAGTGAATGAAAATAATTTGAAGGAAAAAAATTTATTAAAATCTTGATTTACAGGAAAGATAAGCTAGGAAATATTTAGGTTATAATTTTTTCTCTGTGTCACTGCAATGAATTCTACTTTTGTAATTTTCGTATGTTTATACTTTGTGTCCACAGGAACGTCTTACCTTATTGTGCCTCTTCCAGTGCCTAACAATGCTATTTAATTGTTAATGAGTAAATTGTCTTTAAATGTGTTGTCAGTAGAATCTTATTTCTGGAACTATATTTTACTTAGGAGCTCAGATTTAAATATATTTCTCATGCTAACCCTATTAGTTGATTGCTTCTATTGTAGCTGAATTATTCATTATGATTAGAAAAGCAAGACTGCTTTCTCTTGGTATTTTTCCTTTGAGTGGTATCTGTGTATCTAACTCCATTGTTCAGCAGGGAATTATCTTGGTCTGTGACTTCTGTTGCTATTTATTGGTGCTACCTTCAGCTTTAGAAATGTGCAAATATCAATAAACTATGCTCATTACTTTCATATGTATATTCCAAAATTTTACATGGTTCCCATCTCCATACATAACTGTCCTTTCTATTGTCAAATAACACATTTAACAGGTAGTTGCTGTTTTCTATGGGGCTAAATTTGTATAAAAATAATTTGTTCAGATACTAATTTATCTCTCTCTCTCCCTTCTCCTTCCCTCCTTCCATCTATCCATTATACTTAATGTACTATGCTAGGTGCTATAAGGGATAGAAAGAAGCATAAGATTTGGTCTTGTCCTCAAGTAGCTTGCCATTTGAGGAAAATATATGTACACATAAAATACAGATATGCAGGGCAGCCAATTAGCTCAGTTGGTTAGAGCACAGTGCTCATAACACCAAGTTGCCGGTTCGATCCCCACATGGACCACTGAGTTGCGCCCTCCACAACTAGATTGAAGCAACTACTTGACTTGGAGCTGATGGGTCCTGAAAAAAACACACTGTCCCCCAATAAAAACAAAAACAAAAACAGATATGATATGTCACAAGTAAATAATACAAGCTCATACACTATAGAAGATCCAAGGAAGATATTTATATTTTGGGCTAGAATGACCTGGTGTGTTGACTGAGTCTGAGGGTTAGTTTGGTATAACGGTAAAAGCACAAGACAATGAATTGGAAGACCATGATTTAACTCCTATAACTTGCTAACTGTTGTAACCTTATGACTTAGGCTTTCTGACCTTAATTTTTCTCATCTGTAAATTGGGAACCATGATCATGATAATACTTTCTCTATTTCATTTTGTGAATCACAAAATCAAATACAGTTATATAAAAATGTTCTGAAGACATTAAAATATGATTCCAACCTAATGGTGTGTTGTTTTAATTTTTCATCACATACCATAGTGTTTATGCTCAAACACTAATTTAAGAAATGTTAAAAGTTCAACAGGAAAAAGAGAAGCAATGCTGGTACATAATACGTATGTATGTATTCATGTTACTTAATAGGGAGAGGAAATGACCAAAAATTAATGACAGAGCTGTGAAACAAATCTGACTTTTTGTTTGGGGACAATTCATACTATACCTATAATTATTTAGAAGTGAATAATAGTTGTTATAAATAATTTGAGAATAATTATAGACACCATTTATTAAGCCTTTACTATGTGCCAGGGACTCTGTTAAGGACTTTTTATACATTTTCTAATTTAATCTTCACAACAATCCTAAGAATCAATCATTATTGTTCCCTTTTCATAGAGGGGAAAACGCTGGGTCAGAGAGATTGTCATTTGGCAAGGTCACACAGTAAGTACTACAGGAGCAGGATTTGAACCTACGTCTGCCTAAATTCTAAGCCCATATTCTTATCCAGTAATTTCCATAACTTTGGCATATCACACAAAATGCAATGGTAAACTCAGAGCCAAATGACGTGGTTTGAACTATTTATTAAATCAGAAGAATAGGTATTTAAATAATAAATTATTTCAAGCATAGGTGAAGTAAGGAATGAAGTTATAGAGGAAACAGAAAGGCCAGTTAAGACTGAAAGTAGGACAACTGCTGTAAAAGGTTGGAAAACATGACAGAGCCTGAACTGGTGGAATATAGGAGTTGCCTGGTACTGGCTTAGAGAGCCAATTACGTATATCTTTGCTCAACTTCATGTTCAGTGCCCTCAAGTTGGCAGTTTGAAATTAGCCATGATGGGACTATTTAAACCACAGATGTTGGCAAACACTACAAATTAGGTCATTCTTTTTGGGCAGCTAGTTTACCAATATACTGCTGGCCTCAACAAAAGGTTGGAGAAGAGGTTGATTGTTGGGGGAGGAGTGTCAATGAGGGATATTATAAAATGATTTATCAAGTTTTTGGCTTAGGTGAGTCAAGTGGGATACTGGTGCCTCTTACCAAAAGAAGGAGTTGAAGATAGGGGAGAGTTGGTGAATTCTATTCAGGGAAAATTAAAATATCTGATGGACATGATGGTAAAGATGTCCAGAAGACGGTAGTTACATAGATATGAGACTACAAGGAGAGGTCTGGATTCCATAAAAAATACAGGAATCGCACAGAACCGATAGTTGAAGTCATGGGAGTGGATGAACTTTTAAAACAAAATTAAAGAACAAAACCCTGGGAAACTGTGGACAGTCTTGTTTTACCAAGTGAATGTAAATGAAACCGTATGTCTTTTTGTTCAAAGACAGTTTGGGAAAGTGGGTAGAATTATATTTTCTTTGTAAATACTGCATTTGGAATAAAATTATCACTGCAATGTTAACGAGTTTTAAGGAATACTGGCATCTGATAAAAACAGAAATGTTATAGATCAGATTTATAAGAGCTTTACAGCCATATTTATTAAAATGACACTTTAAAACAACAAAATATTTTTTAATATCCAAAAGAAATTTAACTTTATATCAAACATCTGAAAAAACAAAAACATTCTAGAAAAGTAGAGAAAACAAATTTATTTCCAAAATGTAATTATAAGGAATTCTATCCTATACATACCTCTCTCTTGGCACTATATTGTAATTATTTCTTTTCCTCTGCCACTAAACTTTACTGGGTGTGGGGGAAATGCTATATCTTTTATCTATGTTTGGGGCCTTGTACATAGCATGTACTCAGAAAAAAAGAAAAACAAAAAACGAAGCTGTTTCTTCCATGACAGGATGGGAGGTTTGAAGAGATGATGTGGAAGGTCCCTTTCAACCCTGAGGGTATGAAAAGGGAAGTGGCGATAATTGCTTTCCACTTAAAAGAAGAAGTGGGTTTAGTCCTTTGTAGCACCGAAGGGCCAATGTTTCAAGGCTACAGAAAGGCAGCCGACTCTCAGCTCAATATTACACGAGTAAGGATTTTCTAACAAGTACAGCTATCCAACAGAGGGAAGGCTGTTTCAGGAGGTGGCTATCTTTGAAGTTACTCTATTGTAAAAGCTGGAAGGGTCCTTAGAATCTTTAGTTGGTCTTTCCAATCTTTTCATGCCATTGCCTACCCAGAAAATGGTTGTATAGCACATCAATCAATTTCTCAAAGCGTACTTGCCACACATGATCTCAGGGCTCTAGATGGGAAAACCGATCTAGTACAAAATCATCCTTCGCAGTGGAGGAAATCGAATCTTAGAGGGGGGATGAGACATTCCCACGTTAACGTTGATGCTGGGGCTAGAACTCACATCTCTGTATAACTAGCTAGCCAAAGTCTCGTCCCCACAAATTAAACAGGATTACATGTCAGGCTTGAAGACTGGGTCAGCGTTAGTTACAGTAGATGGGATGTGGTCTAAATTAGAATAGCCTTAAATGTGGCCCCATGACCGCTGCCATTAGACCTTGTTCAACCTTGGGGAACTTGTTAAAAAAGCCAATTCATGGGCACCACACAGACACACTGAATCGCGCTGCGGTAAGGCCCGAAAAGCTGCTGTTTTAGGTTTGAAAACACGCCCCATCCTCCACCCTCCTCCTCGGCAGGGTTTTCCGCTCGAGCTCCGGCTTGAACTGAGCTGCTCTGCTGGGCGCTCATCACCAGCCAACCTGACCTCAGAGCAGCGTGGGCGGCACAACCATCCGGTGTTCTCGTAGGGCAACTGTCTGTTACGTAGTAGCCTTTCGGGCCATCACAGGCAGACGTCAACCAGTGCCCGGTTCCGGTGAGGCCGCCGCAGGACCTCCATCACCTCCTCGCCGGCTGAGGACCGACCGCGGAGGCGGGGGCCGGAGGCAGAGGCGGCTCAGCAGCGCCCCCCCCAGGCCAGGGCCCTCCGCAGGCGAGAGGGGCTGCTGTTCCCCTTCTTCGTTTCCTTCTTTTTTGCAGTCCCGCCCACCGGGGCAAGCCACTACGGCGCCTGCGCAAATTCTGCCTTATCCCGCCCCTATTTACCAACCGGAAGTTAACAGGCTTCCCACAGTGCCTCGCGAGTAGTGGGCATGATAGCGAATTCGGGAGGGTCGCACGCGGGTTCCGCTTGTCGTTGTTGGGGTTCTGTGGTGCCAGGGAGTCTCTGCGAGGTTGGGGCCCGGTCACTGCCTTGTCGGCGGGTGCCATGGCGCTTCTTCGGGGCGTGTGGGGCGTCTTGAGTGCACTGGGAAAGTCCGGAGCGGCGCTGTGCGCGGACTGTGGGAGCCGACTGCGCTCTCCTTTCAGGTAAGACAGCTCGCCTGCGCCTCAGGAGGCGGTAGAGCTCAGGACGCCCTGGGGCTGGAAAGTAGACGGCGTCTGACACTTTCTGCTCCTCCTAGGAGGTCAGGGCTACCTTGACCCTTAGATTCAGACCTCGACCTTGCTAAGGGAACGGTGGCTTTGGTATCAGGCCTTACTCCAGTAGGACCCAGTAGTACCTTACTTCCGGCCATCCCCCACCTTCCCGCCTCCCCACTGTCCAGGAGCACCAGGTTCGTTGTTCTCTGCAAACTCGCGCCCGGAGTCTCCCGCCATCATCTAGGCGTTGAGGAGGCGGGGCTCAGGAGCTGGCGTGCAGGTGCTTTCTGCACTCTGCCCTTCCTCCAAGTTAAGGGCTTTGAGACTTAAGGTTTTTTTTTTTTATTGTTAGTTTCAGGTGTACAGAACAATGCAATAGTTATCCTTTTCACCCTTCACACAGAAACAACCCCCCTCCCCCATCTACTGCCCTCCCACCCCCGATATCATGCTTGTCTATTACAATTCCATTGACTCCATTCCCACTCTCTACTCCACATCCGGTGACTATATGTTTATATAATTATAGTTGACATACAATATTATTCAACATCAGCTTCAGAAATACATTGCGGTGGTCAGGCCTCTACACCGACTATGAAGTGGTCTCCCTAGCAAGGCATGAGTCCATCTGGCCCTCTAAGAAATATTTACAACATTATAGATTATATTCCCCAGACTGAGACTTCAGTTTTGCAGGCTCTTCCCTCTGGTTAGGACAGGATTTTAAGTGTCACTAGCTTTTTGTTGAAGGTGTAGATAGCATCTTGATGACATCTTATTTGGTATTTCTATACATATGAATATTTGCACTTAAATACTTGACATTAGTTATTTTCTTTTTATTTATATGCAGTTTTGTATATGTACCGAGATGGTTTTCATCCACCTTGATTAGTTACCCAAAGAAGCCTATGACTTCATACGTTCGATTTTCTAAAGAACAGCTACCCATATTTAAAGCTCAGAACCCAGGTAAGGAGTTTGGGGGCTTGTACTCTTCTCTGATGTAATCAAGAGGCCACTGAGCAGATAAACTGCAAACTTGATTTGCACTACCAAAGCATTCAGTGAGTGCAGGAACTACCATTCTTTTTGATGGTCTTAAAATAGTTGGTATAACATTTTTTACCAAATATAAATGCTTTAAATATAACTGAGAACTAATGACATATTTAAAAAATAGCAGCATGTAGAGTGGAAAGCAGTCAGGGAAGAATGTGGAAAAGCTTTATTTCAGGCCTAGTTACCACTGGCCTAGAGGACCACTGATGAATCATTTTATCTCTTGCTTAGCTCCTTCTGCCTCAGGGAATTGTTGGTAAATTGTAAAGCTCTATACAAATTACTGCTAATTTCAAGAGCTTTTGTACTGAAAGATTTCCAGGTAGGATATTTGTTGACTCCCTAGAAAGGCTGTGGGGCCTTCATTTGGGGTTGTGTAAGGATAATTACTAAATTAATAATAGCTAACCTTTGCTTATGATTTCTAAAGCCTTTTCACATGCAGTATTATCCACCACACTACACTTGTGAAAATCAACTGAGCTATAATAAAACTTCTCATGTTATAAAGAATTAGTTTATGAGACATGCATAAATAAATACCTGTTTTAAAATTTAGGAATCAAAACTATTAAGTGGTTTGTTAAAGCATATACACCTGTCTTTCCAGTTAAGATGAGGAAGGAAATGGGGAATAATGAATTGATTTTAGAATAACTTAGTTTGTTTGCAAATGCTATTTCTGTAATTGAAATACAAGATGGTGGTATATGAATCAAAACTATATTTTGTTGTTTAGTCAGGTTTTATGAACTTATTTCCTAAAAGACTTGAAAAAAATGTTTTGATCGAATATAAAGTAAACAACTCGAAGAAATGGACTACCCAACTGCTTAAGCTAGTAATCAGTTTCTGAGGACTGTTTTGGTGATACGTGATATACACCTTGATTATTAGATAGCAGACTTAAACAATTCGGATAAAGTATTAAATTATTTATTATATATATTAGTTGGTTAAATAAAAGCTAAATCATTGTATAAATTGTGTGTGGTATAGAGGTGTCTAATAGAACTTATAGAGCTAATGGATTATACTTTCTTGAAAGTCTTTAGAAATTAATCCTGAGACATAAAATTGTGACATCTGTTCTTGTTTTATTTCAATCCATAGATGCAAAAAATTCAGAACTAATTAAAAAAATCGCCGAGGTATGGAGGGAACTTCCTGATTCAGAGAAAAAAGTAAGCATATAGGTTTTCAACATTGCTGTCCAGTTATTCTGCAGTTAGGAACAATTGTCATGTCTCTTAAGGGACCAGATAACCCAGAGTTTCTTTTCTTTTTTTTTTTTTTTAAAGCTGAACCATCCTGCCACCTGTTGGCAGCTCAGCGGGAGCTCAGCTCAGGCCGTGAATCGAACCAGTGACCCTTTTGCCCAGCGCTCACACTCTTGAGTGAGCTCTTAACCAACTGAGCCACTCGGCTGGCCTCTTTTTTTTTTTTTTTTTTTTTTAGCACCCATTACCTACAAACAAATTTCGTACCTTTGATCTACCTAAATGATAATATGAATGAATGGGGGTGGTGATAAAGGGTTGGCGGCAATTTGAAGGCTAATTGCTAGACTCTCACCTTGGTTAGCATGTATGTGAAAAAACACGTTTTTAATCCATATAAATGTGATCGCAGAGCACATTTTCCATTTAGTGGTTCAGTCTGACTTTATCTGAAGTCATGCAGTTGTCTTTCCTTGGCAGGTGTGCTGTGTTTAATTTGGCAGCAACAGTTTATTGACTTCGTACTGGTTTTTTATTCATAGATATATGAAGATGCCTATAAAGCAGACTGGCAGGCATACAAAGAAGAGATAAACAGAATTCAAGAACAGCTAACTCCAAGTCAGATGGTATCTTTGGAAAAAGAAATCATGCAAAAACGTTTAAAAAAGAAAGCAATAATAAAAAAGAGAGTGAGTATCATTGAAGTATTCTTTTCCTTTGACAAAAAAATGAAATTTATATAACTGCATATGGGTAGTTTTCTCTTATTTTGATGATATGTGTGGCTATAAGGTAGAATGCCATCAGGTGTACTTCAGTTAGGAATAGCTCTCTTCTTGCCACTAGGACCACTTGGAAACCCTTGTTGCTACTTTCAGATGTATTCAAATTTAACATAAATATGAAAGCTGTAGGAACAAAATTATGAAACAGCCAAATCAGGAATAGTAAGAATCTTTGCTTTTGGATCTTGTCTAGAATAGCTAACTGATTTGAATTGTTCTATAGGTAATGGTGAGTTTGATTCTGAATATTGCTGAACAGACTGAATTTATTAACACATCAGGGAAAAGTACCTGTTGTATCTAATTAAATAAGAAGTTCCTTTAGGATGAAATCCTGTTTTTCCTCATTAAAACCTTCACATGGCTCAGAAATGTAGGTCTCAGCTTAAGGTATTAATCCACATAAATTCCGTTGTTTGAAATGGAATTTTAGACATTCTTCTGTAGAACCAATATTAGGTGTGAGGTGGTCAGCTTGCTGGCCAGTACATATACTATAGAAAATCGTCATCAGAATTAAAACTGTTTCTCTGAGAAAGTAGATTACAGCCTTTAATGTGACATGCCAAGGTATCTGTCCCTGACCCGAATGTCTTAAGTCCTCCTACCAATTTCAGGTCAGTGATGGTAATCTAAGGCTGCTGATTCAATTAGTAAAAGGGATCCAGAAAAGATAACAAGAATGAGAAATAGAGTCTCTGCATAGAGCTGGTATTTGGAGAGATGTGAGTTCTAAAGTTGACTCTCCCTTTTTTTTTAATGCACCTAGCCAGTGCTAAGAGTGGAGAGGACCAGAAATGAGGATTGGGCAGATAAAAAGGGTTTCCTTTTCAAATGTTTCTTCCTTTCTCTCTCTCTTCTCCTAGTATTCCCATTATGCTTTAGTTACACCTGTTGTAATTGCCCCATAGTCTTGAATATTCTGTTCTGTTTTTTCCCCCTAGTCTTTATTCTCTTTCTTTTGGGTTTGCCAAGATTCTATTAATATGTCTTCTAGCTCAGAGATTCTTCCCTCACCTGTATCCAGCCTACTGATACGCATATCAAAGGCATTCTTTATTTCAGTACTCTTTTGCTCTCTAGCAATTTTTGGTTCTTTCTTAATGATTCCCACCTCTGTTTACATTTCCATCTGTTCTTGTATGCTGTCTAGAGCTCTTAGCATATTAATCATAGTTGTTTTAAATTCCTGATCTGATATTTCCAACATCCCTGCCCTGTCTGGTGCTAATGCTTGCTTTGTCTCTTCAGACTGTATTTTGCCTCTTAGTATGCCTTGGAATTTTTTCTTGATAGCTGGACATGATGTACTGCGAAAAAGGAATTGCTGTTAAATAGGCCTTAATGTGATGGTAGGTGTGGGTGCAAGGGAAGTGTTCATTTTCTAGTCCTTTGATTAGGTCCCAGGCTTTCAGTGACACTGCTTCTGACCTGTGCACTGCACAAGTGTTTCTCAGTTTTTTCTCTCCCCCTTAGGTGGGACAGGATGGCTAGAGTGGGCTGGAGTTGGCTATTTCCCTTCCTTCGGGTCAGTTCGTTCAGCTCTGATAATACCCCAGCAGGTCAGGCCCTGTCTGATTAAGTAGTTTCCCCTGAGGGCAGGCCTTGTTAAGAACACAGGAGTGCTCTTGCATTTCCAAATGGTTCCTTTTCCCCTCCCCATGGTGGAACCAGGGGGTGATTTTTCTAGATAGTTATTGTGGGAGTCTCGTTAAGCTCCTGGAGTTGTAAATCTCAATATTGTGAGGGTCTTTCTATGACTCGGTGCCCTAGAGTTTTTAAACTCTGACTTGTCCAAACACAGCCTCCAGCAATGCATTACTATAGTTCAGGTTTTCTTACCCAGTACTGGTTCACACAGCGGTTTCCTCCTGAGTCTTTTTCCTCCTCTGCTCTGTTAAGCCTCAACTCTGTATTCACTTGTCTGTCTCTCCAGTCTTGGGGGCAGCAGCAGTTTTCCCAGTATCTTTTCATGCATCCAAGAAGAGCTGTTGATATTTCGGTCTGTTCAGCTTTATACTTTCAGGATGGAGTGGTGACTTCCAAGCTTTTTACTTGTTGAACCTGAAACCTGAAGCCTGAGGATTTTTCCCCCTCGGGCTTCCATTCCCTTTCCCTGTTGGAATTTTTTTCCCCATTAAAGATTTCCCAGTACCAACTAGTTAGAGATAAGATGAGGCATGTGGGAACCAGAAAGTTGCAAGTGAAACACCTCGTAGTAATTCTAGAAATAAAAGGGGCTTTAGTTAAGTTGCGAAGTGCCTGGAATCTACAGTAGTTTTCATGACTGAGAGTTTCTGGAAGAAGGAAGTGACTTAACTATAAATCAGAGGAGCCCTACTTTTACTGATGAGTAAAAGTTGGGTTTGTTATTGACTAACAAACTGTCATTAAAAGTTACAAAATTTCATAAATTGCAAGTACTCACTATCCAAATTCTGATACTAGGTAGGATAGTGCAATTTCTCTCATTCTCTGAACTCCGAAACTAAATTGATTTAGACAGCAAGGGATACTTGTATTCTTCTTCATCATTTCTTATCCTCCTCTTGATGCTGAGTAAAAAGAATTTAGCACGTTATTGAGGTTTAAAGGTTGAGAGACATTCAAAGAAAGTAATGAAATGAGAAATATTAAACAGATACTCACTCTAGTGTTCATGAGTTGTGGAGGCATGTAATGGTTTGGCCAAGGAGATGGTAGTATTCTGTAAGGATGAAACTGAGATTGTTTTATCTTTTAAAAAAGATTTTGTACCTTTGTGCTCAGTTATTCAGTTCATGGAGACCATGAAAATAATATATAAAGGGAATGTTTTTATGTGGAAAGTAACTCATAAAAATCTATTATAATTTTCAAAACTTAGTGCTATCAAAAAATTCTGACTCCAGGAGGGAACAATCACATAGTTTATATAAGAATCGTAACATTTACTTTAAGGAACATTCTGTATAATGCATAGTAGTGAATACAGTTTCTGTAAGTAAAATTAAGTCTCATAGAGGTTAAAACTGTATCGATTTTTATTACTCAGGAGTTAACAATGCTTGGAAAACCGAAAAGACCTCGCTCAGCTTATAACATTTATATATCTGAACGCTTCCAGGAAGCTAAGGATGGTTCATCACAGGTAAAACAGAACTGCCTTTGTTTTTAAAAATTTTATTTTAATTTATAAAATATTCAGCCAGGAAATTTTAGGGATGCCATATGTCAGGTAGTGAAAAAAAGTAAGTGAATTACTATGAACAAGTACTGTGTATGAATAAGACCTTCGTTCTTTTATCTCTTTTATAGAAAAATCATTTTTCTTACTGTGTACAATTAATATGAGTATGCAGATGCCAATATATATATATATTGTCAACTTTTTATTTAAAAAAAAAACAAACTATAAATTTTTCAAGTTTATAGGGGTGTTAAAGTTCTGGAGACTTATCCAGCAATTTTTAACTATTTTACAGTCACTGGGAAAGAATGAGAGCAGAACTATAATATTTTTACTGGGATTTGAATATAACCTTCATGTTTTCATGTTTTATATTGCTTCATGTTTTATATTCTTTAATAAAATTTTGGTTATACCCCTGGGGAAGTTTTATACACATGAATCTGTCAAAGAAGAAAAAGCTTGTCATTCCTATTGTGGCATAGTCTTTTCCTTATTTCCTTAGAAGCTCCAAATTGACAATTGTATTTTTCTTTTTATAATATGACATGCTAAGAGGAGTTTATGTTCAAATCCCTAACTCTTGTCAATCTGAGATGAAGGTTTTTGCCACTTTGCCTCTTTGGGTTATTTGGTTTTGTGGCTTATTTCACAAATTCTGCTTAACATATAATTAAATAATGTGTACATATGATGTAGTCTTCCCTGGCTAAGTACTTTTACTGATTTAGTCCCTTTGGGATTTTAAATTCAATTTCTATGGCCCTACATTACGAAAATGCAAGCCTGTTTATTTTTTAGTTGGCATTTACTCAGTCACTAACTTAGCTTGCTTGGATTTAGTTTTCTTATCAGTATGAGAAGGTTATGTGCTACAGAATTCTCCTAAATCAGTGGTCTCAGCTCTGACTGCATCTTGGCATCACTTGGGAAGCTTAATGGCTGGGCACTATCCCTGGAAATGAAAATTACCTCGGCTATATAATTTTTATTCATTAAAAAATAGTGGTTATACATCCTCATAGTTTAAAGAATCAAAATAAGGCTTGTTATGAAAGATACTAGTTTTCACTGCCCTGTCATAGTTCTTACTCCAGAAGCAAACTCTACTGTTTTAGCTGATTTTGTGGTATTTATCTCCATATCTCTAAATAACATCCTTATATTGTTACTTGATTTTTTTCAATTTTAAGCATTATCTATATTTGAGGCATTACCTTTCATTATTTAAAATGAACGTTTAACTGTTGCTCATCCCACTATTCATGTTTCATCCCCTACCTCAATATTGTTATCATAATTTTGGTTACATTATGATGATTATGTAAACCCTATTCATAGCTGAGCTGCGCTATTTGCTATGATTATTTTGCCTTTCTAGCAAAACTTAACTTTCCCTGAAGTTGGTTATGTTTTGTTTGCTTAGTTTTTTATGTACTGTCAGTAATTTAACCTCAAACTCTTCAATATTCACCAGCTTTCAGTACATTTAGATACATTAGATATTCTGTCAGTTTCATTCTGGAGCCTTTGATTTGTTCCAGTTTGGTTATTGCCTTGATGTACCCAGGGCACAGCTGATATCCTGGGATCTTCCTTCATCATCATCCTTGTGGTGCTTTTGCTTCTTGTGTTGTCTTTCTTGGTTTATCGATTCTGTTATAGCATCCCTCCTAGTAAGGGTTCATGGGAAATTAGCTTTTTAAGTTCTTACATGTCTGAAAATGTCTCTATTACATTTTATAGTTTGGGCATAGAATTCTGTTTCATGTTTTTTGAAAATTTAAAAAGTAATGCTTCTTTATTTAGTAGCTGCTTATATTGCTTTTGAGATGTATAAAGCCATTTTGATTATTGGTCCTTTGAATGTGACCTGTTTTTTTTTCCTTCTCTTTCCCTCTTTCTTACCTTTGTTTTGACTTTCTAGAACTCTTATTTATGCATCTTCTGAACTGATACTTTAATTTTCTTATCTTTCCTGTATTGTTTTCTCTTAGACTTTTTTGTTTTTCTTTCTGGGATGCAGTGTACATTTTCACTTAATCTCCCTGTTTTCAGCATGGTACTGTTGCCCCCAACTATACCTGGTATCCACAGAATAATTATTTTACCACTTAATAATTGGTAAAATATTAAGGATAAATATCCTAGAATCTACTGATAGTGGGCATTTAACCTCTTTTTAAAGACTTTCAACCAGTCCTCCTGATTTTAACCTGACTTCGCCTCTATTTTATGCTTACCTGGTGCTGCCAATTCCTAAGCTACTTGGGGAATTCTATATTGTAAAACACTCCTTTTTTTTTTTTTTTTTTTAAAGTGGTGAAAATAGTTTATTAGAAGAGATAGTGCACTCCAAAGAATTAGGACCAGGCCGAGCACAAAGAAAAGTGGCTCAAGGCCCAAGGCTCAAGGCGGCATTATTAGGAGAAAAAGTAACACTCCAAACAGTTTGGAGCAGGCCCTGACCAAAGACAAGGCTCAAGAGGATCAAGGGGCCAACACTTGACTTTTTTTGGCTTTCTCCACTGCCAGTTTGGGAATCGCTTTCATGGGTTATGCAAGCCAGGAAGCATTTCTCCATCTGCTTTTCAGCTTACAGAATTTTGTGTTGTAATACTTTCTCCTGTTATCTTTGTCCATGTGGATTTATGCCTTACATTTTTTTGTTTATTCGTTTAATGTTTGTTTATTTTAAAATAAACAACAGAAATTTATTGCTCGCAGTTTTGGAGGCTGGGGAAATCCAAGATCAAGGCACCATCGCGGTCGCCTGCTGGCGAGGACCCTCTTCTGGGCTCATAGCTTGCGCCTTCTCACTGTTGTCCTTACATAGTGGAAGAGCTCATTTAATGGAGTTTTAGGAGGGAGCAAAATATCTTTCCATCTCTTTAATTTTTTTTTAATGAATTATTTTTATTTAAGTGAAAGATCAGATTATTTATGCATGCAACTTCATAAATTATTGTTGAACTCAGTGAGTATGAAACTATGGGTTAAACTTTATGGATAGTAAAAGATTAGTTATGAAAGAATCGAGAGCATTAAAGTAATTGCTTCCAAAGCTGAGAGTCAGCAGTTTAGTAACTGTCCCTGAATATATTAGAAGTGTTCATAAAGGTAGGTTTAAAATGTTCAAAACATAATTGTTATGTACTCTCAGATACTATCTGGTACCACTATTTTTGTTGATAGGAAAATAAAATTCAGTTAGAGATCTGGTGAAAACAATAAAGTTCATTATTCTCACTTTGCACCTCCTTAAAATCACTGATGATTTCCTTCTAGCTTTGAACAGACACTTTCAGACCATTTCTCTCTCTCCCTTACACTCCTTTTCTACCCCTCTGTCTCCATTTCTACTACTCATTTTCTACCCACCCATTTTTCTCTTCATTCTCTGCTCTCCGGGAGCAACAGCACAGGCAGTGTGAGGTGTGCTGACTCTCCACTCTGCCTTTCTTCCTGCCATGGCATTCCTGTATCCCTTTAATTTTATAGATGAAGAACCAAGCCAATGGAGGTAATAGAACTTTTTCAAAGTCACATAATTAAGTTCAGCTAAGTAGAATTAAGGACTGGTGTTGGATTGTTCCTATGACTACACCTAAACACTTTGGCACACATTTTAGAATAAAACATTAAGCTACAGGGAAGAAATCAAAACACTTAGTCTCTGAAGTTAGTGACAGAATGTAGGTTATGTTTGAATATTAGTATTTCTGAATCAAAAAAGATAAATATCTGCACAATAAAGGAAACCATCAACAAAATGAAAAGGCAGCCTACCGAATGGGAGTAAATATTTGCATATCATAAGGAGTTAATATCCAAAATATATAAAGAATTCATACAACTCAATAGCAAAAAAAACCATTCTTATTAAAAAATGGGCAGAGGATTGGATTAGACATTTCTCCAAAGAAGACATATAGATGGCTAACAGGTTCATGAAAGGGTGCTTAACGTTACTATTAGGGAAATGCAAATCAAAACCAGAATTCACTTCACAACCTGTTAAAATGGCTGTTACTAAGACAAGAAATAACAAGTGCTGTGAGGATGTGGAGAAAAGGAAGCCCTTGTGCACTGTTGTTGGGAGTGTAAATTGCTGCAGCTTCTATGGAAAATAGTATGAAGGTTCCTGAAAAAATTAATAAAAAGAGCTACCATATGTTCAGCAATTCTGGGTATTTATCCAAAGAAGAGGAAAACACTAACTTGAAAAGATAACCTGAATTCCCATGTTCATTGAAGCATGATTTACAACGGCTAAGATGTGAAATCTAAGTGTCCATTAATGGATGAATGGATAAAGAAACTGATATATGTATATAAAGTGGACTATTATTCAGCCATAAAAAGAAGGAAAACTTGCTATTTGCGACAACATGGATAGATCTTGAAAGCATTATGCTAAGTGAAAAAAGTCAGACCAGAGAAAGACAAATACTGTATGATCTCACTTATGTGTGGAATCTAAAAAATAAACTCAGCTCAGATACAGAGAACATCAGATACAGAGAACAGATTGGTGGTTGCCAGGGATGGGGGGTGGGGGGTGGGGGTGGCCAAAAGGTACAAACTTTCAGTTATAAAATATTTAAGTCCTGGGGATGTAATGCATAGCATGGTGACTATAGTTAATAATACTGTATTGCATATTTGAAAGTTGCTCAGAGTAGATCTTAAAAGTTCTCATAAGAAAAAAACAATTTATAGTGATGAATGTTAACTGGACTTGTGATCATTTTAGAATATATACAAATATTGAATCATTGTATTGTACACTTGAAACTAATACAGTGTTATATGTCAATTATCTCAATAAAAAAGATAAATATATTCTAAGTATTTTGTATATTTTAACAATTTAGAATGAAAAGATGTTAAGAGTTGATGAGGCTTTGCCTGTGATTCTTGATATCTGAGTTTTTGTTGTTGGAATGAGTAATAAAAAATATTTTTAATCACCGAATCCCCTACATCTGGTACTTAAACGTATGTTGTTTTACAGTTAAAGCTGAAGGCTGTAAATGAAAGCTGGAAAAATCTCTCTAGTTCTCAAAAGCAAGTAAGTAGTATGGTTTAGTCTCAAGTATTTGGTTAGATATTTGTGAGAGACTATATTAGGACAAGGCTTAATTCATGTGACAACCTTAATTACTAACAATACAGTTAAAAGTATTTTTAAATAATTTTGTATTCTTAGAACCAGTTTAGTTTTTTTCTTTTGATAGTTTTTGACTGCAAATAAAATTGGTATTTAAAATAACGTCACACAGAATTTAGTGTCCACTGTATCCAGTGACAGTCACACCCTACCTCTCTCTGCTCCTTTCCTACATCCCAAACCCTGAAATTGTAACAACTTTGTTAATACAAAATCTTTATCTCTTACCTTTTTCTCATCTAATTTTTATCTCACAAAACCATTCCTTCTCCCACCCCCCTTTATACATGTAGCATAGTAAGGTAATTTCTAGAGTGTATGTGGAAGTATTCCAGAAATTAATTGCAAAGATTCTTCTAAAGAAATCATTTTAAATTATACTTTTTCTCAGGTATATATTCAACTTGCTGAAGATGATAAAATTCGTTATTTTAATGAAATCAAATCTTGGGAAGAACAAATGGTTGAAGTTGGACGTATTGATCTTCTCCGACGCAAAATGCAGCCCCAGGCAAAAAGCACTGAGAAGCGTTAAATAGAAGATTATGTTCATAATGATAGATATAAGAAACCAATTAGGTCTCAATACCTGAAGCTGTTGTACAATTAGAAAGGATAAAGTTGGTAAACATTTTATACTTTAATTCCTTTTTCTTTAACCCATGAACTTCTGCCAGTTCAATACATTTTGTATTAGTATCTTGCTTGGAAAACCCAAACAGATAAAAGTTCATGCGAAATTTATTTTCTGTTTAGGAACTTCCAGGGATCAAAATAATCCATGAAATGTATCAGAAATCATTGTACCTTTGATAAAGGTGAATCAGACTGTGAAGTTTTTTATACTTGATGACTGTGGAAAGACTATTGTTTCCTTATATTATGGAAGCAGGGGTTTCCTGTTCAGAAGTATCCCAAATTGTAGACATGGTGTTCTGTGATATAATTGTGCATTTTTAATAAAGCACCAAGAACTCATCTAAGTAAATGCCAATTTCTAGGTATGATTCATTTTATATTCAGAGTTGATAGTGGTACATGCAAGATTCCTGGTTTCGGTTGCAACTTTTTGTACAAGGGATGGAGAGATTTATAAACATTTGTCTTTTTTTCTAAAGTAAAAACTAAGAAATTATGTACCAAATCTATGCATATTGTTACATATTGCATAGAATAAATTTTTTGTCTTTCATAATTACATGTTTTAAGGTGAAACATTTGTTTTACAGCTTCTTTCTGTCTTTTTTTTTTTTCAAGCAGGGATTTGTATTCTGAATTATTTTTTTCTCTCTCATGTGAGTGTATTTATCCAAAAAGTAGAGAACTTGTTTAGTAAGTTTTAAAATGAGAGATCTTAAAAACAAAGTCTCTAAAGCCTCTATACTTGGAATCTGTAATTTTTAAACATTTTATATAACATATAAAAGCCTATATAAGGGACAGCAAACTCTGGCCTGTGGGCCAAATCCAGCTCACTGCCTGCTTTTCATGGCCTGTGAGCTAAGGATTGTGTTTACAATTTTAAATGGTTAAAAAAAGTATTTCAAGACACATGAAAGTTACGTGAAGTTCAGTGTCCATAAATAAGGTCTCATTGGAAAACAGCCATATTCATTCATTTATTTATTTATGGCTGCTTTTGTGCAACAATGACAGAGTTGAGTAGTTGTTACAGGGAGTAGCATGCAAAGCCTCAGATATTTACTGTCTGATCCTTTACAGAAAAGGTTTGCCAATCCATGGTCTACAGTATAGTGCAGTGTGACAAGTGTTCCAGCATATTCCTGTGTTGGGATAGGTTTTTAGACTGTTTCAGAGGTTCTTGTTTTTAGAATCTGTCATCATTGTCTTAAGAGGAAAGAGGTCAAATTACAATAAAGAAGCTAAACGAACCGAACCGTTGTGCCACAGTGTTAGCAAGAAAAATAATCTTTTTTCAAATTATGTTGCAGTTTAATAAAAAAGATCCATCTAGTGTGGAATGAGATTCTCTTAAATTATTTGTTATGGCTGGGTAAAATGTACCTTAAAAGTTTTTCCAGTTAGCACCTACCAAAAAACCTTAACCGTCTTTTAGCATTTGTTTATCCTCTTAGAAGAGTCAAGTAAAAGTTTTCAAAATCCACACCACCTTTCTGAGCAAAATAATTCATCTTTTGTCATCAGTTCACAGGAATAGGATAACTCAAAATTTATATGTACCTTATGCAAAATATTTAGAAATTCTAGATTTCTGATCTGATCTCTAGAAAAAAGTTTGAAGATTTTGTACAAAGTCATGAAAAGATAACTTGTTAAATAAAGACCAAACTTGACAAAGGTAGGGACTGAAGAGAAAAATACAACTTAACAGAAAGCTTAAAGATATAAAGTTGGGCGTTTTCAAACGACTTTCTCCTGTGGTTATGAATACAGGTCAAAGCTGGCTCTTAGTTAAAGAGAGATACCATGGGGTAGAGGAGTTGGAGAAGAAGAGGCGTGCTAGTGTCTATCAGTCTTTCTCAGTTTGGTTTCCAGGAGAGAATTAAGCCCGAATTCCCTTTGGCATTTATTGTAGAATGGTACTGATTATGTACCATACTTAGGAGAATGAAGAAAATCACTGAAATCACTTACTGTGTTCTGTGTTTCAGGTGAGCCCAGGGAGCACCCAGGAGTCAGTGTTTATAGTATAGGATGGGTGGGGTAGAGAAATGGGTTATGTAAACATCTGTAGGACAAAACGTAGTATAAAATATCTGTGCAGTTACCTTTTCTGAGCTCTTAGCATTCAAGTACCTATACTGTTTTATACAGAACACATCAAATCATATTTTCTCAATTATATTAGGAAGTTCGTTGTCTAGAAAGTTCTCAAATATTTACAACTTAATATAGGAAAATAAGTGTGAAATGGTGAAAAGAGAGCAAAATCATTTTATGATAATATCAAATTTTATTTGGTTTCTTTTGTTTCTAAAAGAATGTTTAATACTTTAAATATGGTAACCTGATTTCATGCCTTTCTTAGTAAACTTCAGTACATGTTGAAGACTGGTATGCCTTATACCAAATGCCATCCAGTTTAACAACATGCATAAATTCTATATTGTTATAAAGAATAAGAACTTACACAACTAACCAGTGGCAATTCATAATAAAGCCATGCTTTTTAGACTTAACTGACCCAACAAATTAATTGCTGCAGAAGCTAAAGAGGAACGCTAGGGGGAAAGATGCTGAAGAAACAGTGTTTATGCTGTTCTGAGCATATGCTGTTCAGAGTCAGAGAGATTTTTATACTTTTGTTCATTGGCGTACCAATATTAGATTTTTTGAAATAATTTGGTGACAGGGTTGTGTGATTATTTTACTTTATTTAAAAGATACTGTGTGCAGACTCCGCCTACTGTAATTAATTTTGCTGTTGTGTTTTTGGCTAACTCCTTTCTTGGAAATGCCATTTTTTTAACAAGCTGTATTTTTTATAGTTGCTCTGAATGTGTATATTTAAATTTCTGAATTAAAATACTATTGAGTTGATTTAAAGTAGCAAACTTTATTGATTTTCTGACATTTACTGTACCTAAAATTAATCACTGGGAAATTTTGTATAGTTAAGTGATAGTATCCGTTGTTTTTCTTAATTTTATCAATTTTTTCTATAAGAATATTTTCTCCCTTTGTTTCCTTTCCTCACAGCTACTCTTTGTCCTCTTCATAACACTAAGCTCTTACAAATAAATTTGAAAATGTTATAAGGACAGATTGTTGAAATTTTAAAGCACCAATATTCTTTTTAAAATCGAACCTTTGGAAAGAGTAAGAAAATGAACGTATTTATTACTTTGAATTTGTGCAACTTTCCAAACACAAAAGTAAAACTATCCAAAGCTAGGATCAGTTTTTCACATTGTTCACAAATAAAATACTTTTGCTAATCGATTAAATCACTGATTATATTTAATGGAAAATACATGAAAAAATCATTTTCTAATACAGTTATCCCTGGGTATCTGCAGGTGATTGGTTCCAGGACCCTCCACCATCACAAACACCAAAATCGGTGAATGCTCAAGGCCCTTATGAAATAGTATACTAATAGTTGTTACATTGTATTGTTTAGGGAATAATGACAAGGAAAAGTTCATATTCAGTACAGTCACCACCACCTAGGCCTAACTACTTAGTGCACATCAGCAACAATGAAACTTTTTTCAAATATTTTCAATCTGTGGATGCAGAACCCAGAGATAAGGAGGGCCAACGGCACATTTAAAAGTTTTTTAAATATGTATTTTACTGGCTAAAGAGGTAAAAAAATTGACCCTAACCAAGAATTTTAAATAAGATAAACATTTAAAAATCACCCTAACATTATTTAAACCATTCTTACATAATGGTTTCTGATTTACATATGTGATGTGCAAGAAAATATTTGAATTCTTTTTTGCCTGTATTAATTTAAAATTTATCCAATTTCATTCCTCCTCCTCCACTAATCATGTATAAGATAGGGGAAGAAGAAAGGGAGTACATAGTTTTGACTCAGACTTTTTGTTATATATGCTGCCAACTACCAGCCTGGGCCATATGTCTTTATTAGGGTCCTTGAGTGTAGTACTTTGGGGTTTCCAAAGTAAGGTAGGGTTGGTCAATTCAAACCAAAAAGAGCTGGGTTTAGGTAAGCATCTTGGGGGGCTTACCTAAGTGGTGCACAAGGGGAAAGTCCTGGAAGGTGGGAGAGAGTGCTTATCACAAGGGCAGCTGCGGGAATCATATCAGGAATTTACATTTACTTGTGACACTGTGGACTGTTATCTAGAGCATGCACTCAAGAGATGGGCTATTGTCAGTTCAAGGCCCTTGCAGGCCACTTGGCCACAAAATGGAAGCCAAGGCAGCAATATTATGGAGTCATTTAGCTAAGTTCTCAGCACAGAGTCCTGAATGTGCATCCAAGGAAAATGAGCATCAGAATCCAAGGAAATCTGGAAGTGCATCCAATGAGATCAGTACTAATGGGGACAGATAGGTGATACATCAGCACCGTGAGTAAGGATATGCATCTGAGATGTCGATATAGGCAGAGGCTAGGCTATAGTATCTAAAACCAGGTGTCCAACCGACAGCAAGTATGAAGGACTTTTATTGAAGGAACCAGGGTCAGATTTCAGAAGCCAAGAGAATAGAATAAAGAGTATCATCCACCTGGAGTCTGAGTTTCATCGAAATCACTCCTAAACAAATTAAAATAATTATCTGTAAAACATATAAAATAAAAATTCATGGGTGTCTCATTAGGTCAACAAAAAGCTCAAATGATTCTGCTGCAAATGGAATATTGATCATAATTTGAGAAATACCGACGAAACTATCAAAAAAAGAGTTTAATAGTAAAGCAGCAGACAACTAGGAGATATACCCTCTTTTTAGGTCTAGGGTGGATCTTAATGTATGAATGAAGATTATCTACCAGGAGTGGAGCAATACCAGATCTTGGCTGGTCCTGTCTGATCATCCTTTAAATAAGTGGTCTTGACCTGGTGATGGGGAGGGGGAAGGCTGGCAAATTTGCCCCTCAGAACATTTGGCCTTCGTTTGGAGAGAGTTGGATTATCACAACTGGGGCGATACAACTGGCATTCAGTGAATAGATGACAGGATGCTGCTAAACATACAATATGCAGGATAGTCCCCACAACAAAGAATTATCTGGTCCCAAGTGTCAATCTTGCTGCTGTTGAGAAAGCTGCTGTACATCATGGACTAACATAAGATCTTGGAATAAAGAGAAAGGTAGTTGCTAGCAAGATTTAAGAGACATCGCTTAGGTAGTTCTAACTCATTTTCTTTGAGAGTTGCTACCATTAACAATACCCACACCATCGCCAAAATAAGTACTAAGCTTTAAGGGAAGAAAAGGGTTAAGGGGGTAGGCTTTACAACAATACAGAAGAGCCCCAGAAACTCCCCCTTATGTCTGTTCCATGAAGACCGATCCATGATGAATGCTATTTGCATGGTCTTGGAGGTCCTTGTGGAAAGTGACCAGTAAGGACAGCTTGTGTTTTTATAGCACTTCCATTTACAAAGTACTTGTACATTCCTTAGCCGATTCTTTGCCTTTGGGAGGTAACCAGAGTGTATTATTGGGTCGTCGGGAAAGTCATGACGCATTTTTGCATTGGAAAACATAGACAGATATGTCATGACTTTCCCGACAACCCAGTAGTTTCTTCCGGTTGCTGTAACAAGTTACCACAAACTTGATGACTTCTAACAACAGAAATTTATTCCCTAATAGTACTGGAGGCCAGAAGTCTGAAGTCAAGGGCTCTGTGGGGCTGCAATCCCTCTACAGGCTCTGGGGGAGAATTTATTCTTTGCTTCTTCCAGCTTCTGTTGGCTGTCAGCATTCCTTGGCATGTGTTGGCTGTATCTCTCTGTGCTCTGTCTTCTCATCACCTTGTCTGCTGTGTATGTGTCTCAAAACTCCCAGTCCTTCCTCTCACAGACATACATGTGATGACACGTAGGGTCCACTCAGATAATCCAGGATGAGGTCCTCGTCTCAAGATCCTTAACTTAATCACATCTTTTGCCATATAAGTTAATGTGCACAGGCCCCAGGGATTAGGATGTGAGCATTTCCTTCTGGAGGCTGCCAGTCAGCCCACTTCACAGGGCAAAATGGTCCCTATTTTACATTATTTTACTAGGTCACATGGCTCGTTAACTGTGAAATTTGGCCTGAAGCCCAAACCCTAGTCCCATCTTTTATCACTATACTATAAATCATAACAAGAAACAAGAGTAACTAAGGCACAAAAGGAGAATAATGGAGAAATAGGGAAGTAGAAGACAAAATTAAATCGCAGACTTGAGATTTGGGGCAGTAAGAAAAAAATACTGCTATATAAAGGGACTAATAGATGAGCCCAGGGGCAAAGGCCAGTTTATGAATAATTACTACCTTCTGGGGTTTTTCTTGGTGACTTAGTGTTCCAGGCCTGGAACTATCTAAAATGGAGATATCAATAACTCCATTTATTTACAACAGTTGGCACAGTGCCTTTCAATTAATAGCATTTCATCATTGGAACACATCATAGTTATCAGCCAAGGTCATCAGATAATGTTTTTGTGGTTAAGTTCTATAAGGACTGTTGATTTGATACTTTTATAAACTTTGCAAATAGTTACTTGCCAGATAACTAACACTCCCAGGCAAATGATAAACAATGTGGCTTTTGTTTTTTTCTGCTTCTTGTGAGGTGTCATTCTATTGAGAGAGACTATTGTTTTTAGACCAGTTATTCTCAACTTTAGCTGCACAACCCAGGTAACCTTAAAAACCATAATGTTCTTGACTAATCCAGAACAATTAAAGAACAACATCTAGGAATGGGACCTGAGAGAAGGGATAACCAAATATTTTTCCTTTAGTTTTTAATTTTCACATTTATGTCTTAAAATTGACATACGATATTTTTTAAGTTTAAAGAGTTGTAAAATATTAAATTTCTAGCATATTGTAAATATTGACTTAAGAAAAGTCACATCGCTTCTTTAAATGTATATAATGGGCTGTAAATACCACAGTGTAACATGTAACAAACTTTTTAGCACTGGGAAATTTCCCACCATTCCTTTCCATTCCTTTCCATTCCTCTTCCTCCATAAAATTTTATCCTACCAATGTAATACGTTTTTATGCTTCAATGTCTCTTATTTATTACCCTATCATAATTCTCTGGAGCAAAAATATGTATACGAATTTGGATTGAACTTCTAAAATTTCCTGTGTTCATAGGCTTTAAGCATTTAAAAATTTTAGATTGTGGGACCATTATAATAACTGCTAGAACACAATTAATAAAAACAACATTAATATGTTACCAATTTGAGGGAACCAAATCCAAATTTCCATCAATAGGTGAAAGAATAAACTAAATATGGTATATTTATACAATGGAATGTGAAGCAATAAAAAAGGAATGAAATATATATATCAGCAAGGATGAATTTGAAAAGCATCATCCAAGTGAAAGAAGCCAGACATAAAATAATATATACGGTATGATTCCATTTATATAAAAAACCTAGAAAATGCAAACCAATCTATAGTGACAAAAAGCAGACTGATAATTTACTGGGGCTGGCAGTGGAGTGAGGGACAGACTGCAAAGGGTTATGGGAAACTCTTAGGGATGATGGAAACATTCTGTAACTTGAGTGTGGTGGTGAGTTCACAGGTGTGATCATTTATCAAAATCCATTGAATAAAAAGTTTAAATTATACATCAGTAAAGTAAAGAAAAATATGTTCCAGGTTTTTGTAAATATTAAAAAGTAAAATTTTATTGGAAATAGGAAGAAGCGTACGTCCCTATTCAAAGTAGTAAAAGTCTGTCCCTCATTTTCGAGCCAAAGCTAATAGGGCTGCTGTAGATTCACCCCCACCCCACTATTTGACGTCATTTCCTATTCTACCCATTAACTCACCTCCTTTCACCCACCACTCACTCACTGGGCCGTATGCTCACTCCTAGGGCTCGCTTCCCTCCCTTCTTTTAAGTCTTTCCTCAAATGCCATCTTTTCTGTGATGCTGACCCTGAACATCCTTTAAAATGGCAACCTGTACCTCCATCCTCACACTCCCATCTCTTCTACCCCACTCCTCCTTTTCTTTATTCCGTAGACCTTAACACTTTCTAAATACTGTACAATTTACTCATTATGTTTAGTATTTAT